ATCTGGAAATCCGTTAGTAAACCTTTTTCCTCAGGCATCAGGAAGTGGACAGGTTTTGACTGATGTAGAATTTAAGGAATGTTTATATCTGGTAAGTATTTTGGAAACTTTATTATTACAATATTATTATTATTTTTTTTTTTTTAATGTCAATGTCACTGCATAACTGTCCAAAAATAGTATTTTAATTAGATCTTTGAAAAACAAATTACTTCAAATTTATGTTACTTATTATATATCACTATAGGTTTTGTAATTAACAAAAAACATAACATTTTTATTATATTACTGAAATTAAGCCCTTGATTCTAATTTTTTGGTAAAAAAATATTGCTTGTTTTAACTTGTGTATTCACTAGCCATTGTATGAGGTTCATCTACAGTAGACCAAACATTTACGTTTTGTGCATTTTGTGTATTTGCTTTTGTGCATTAAAAATGTGTAAGTTGAAAATGTTTATAATTGTGATGCACAATAAACAATCTGACTACATTCTACATGTTTTTGCTATTTGTTTTGTTAAGCGATTCTGCACTGGTGAAAATGAATATATGCAAAACAAAGGATTATGATTATAATATACCCACGTAAGCTCATGGTGGAACCAGTTAAAAGTCTCTGTATAACTTCATAGGTTACAAGCAATATCCCTGCTAAAGTGGGATCTAATGCACATCTCAGAAAGGGCCCATGTTTAATGTAATACAGGATAAAATTATGTATTTAAAATCGTTTGCAGGTTGACAGCAGTTTATCCAGTTTTGTACTTGTTTACTTTGAAAAAAATCCATAATAATCACATACAGAATCAGAAATGCTTGAATTGTGAAAGTGTCTCTTACACAGTTGGCTTTATCTCATGTATGCACATATTTTATAAGGGCTCACTGAATGGGTTGACACCTGTAACTTCAGGGACATGCGCCACTGTTGTTATTCCACAGACCACTTAAGTATAACGTTTTTAGACATTTTTGTCATCTCTGATTTAAAATAAAATGTCTAAAAATGATACTCCAAACGCACTTGAACAGTGCTTCAAGGTAAATGTCAGATTTAGCCTGTATTTCAGGGGCCCCTCCTCTTTACTCAAGAACTTTTTGTCCACCATGGTTTAAAACTTGTGCAGAAATATTGTGGAAAATGTGTTTATGAATGTGGAAAACATGGTACTCTGACTCGAGGCAGATGGTCTGTGGAATGGCCAGCTGCATATGTCCTTAATACACACACAAAGACTGCAGACAATGACATATCACAAAGATGAAGCCTTTTTTCCTTCATTTATTCACTGTTTTTATTTATTTAACCAAAATCAACATGGAGTTTTCATTCTGAAATGGCTTTTGACACGCATTGATTATTAAAAAGAAATATTACTAATATTTAACACTTTATAGTATATGGGCGAGAGCTGGGCCACACCTGTTAGTTCTACTCACTTTACAGTACATACAGAGCTGGGCCACATAGGTTAGTTGTACTTATTTTACAGTGTGTGGGCCTCATCTGGGCTCCATACATTAGTTCTTCTCGTTTAACCTGTATGGGCCAGATCTAGGCTGAAGACCCAGCCACAACTGGCCCAGAACGAAACCAAAGATGTATAATAATTTTTGCTAACAAATAATCTTTGTTAGTGGTTGCCGGAGAACCTCAGATAACCTTATATATGACAACATAGGTTTGTTTTATGCTTTTTAGGATGTCTAGAACGTTTTCGCTCTTTAATTATGGTGTGGGTGGAAATAAATCAGATATAATAATACAGATATAATCTAATCTAATCTACGGAGCCCTGATGACGACATCCTGTGTAAATAAAAATAACGCGTGGCCACGCCTTTGAAACGCATGGGAATGAGATCCTAATGCATGGCCACGACTTAGCAAGGCGTGGGAATGAGATGATTAAGTCGTGGCCACATAGATACATTAGATTAGTACAGAGTCCTGCTGGTGACATCCTGTATAAATAAAAATAATGCGTGGCCACGACTTAGTAAGGCGTGGGAACGAGATCGTGGCTTACTAAGTCGTGGCCACGCATTAGGATCTCGTTCCCACGCTTTACTAAGTCGTGGCCACGCATTATTTTTATTTATACAGGATGTCACCAGCAGGGCTCCGTACTAATCTAATCTATCAGCGTGTTTTATATTGTCCCAGTGAGATTGCGGAAGGTTCACGCGCCCCGTTGCTTAGCTACTAAATCTCAAGAGGCGGCGCGCGCGACTTTGTTAGAACGGATTAGCCGTTGAGCTAAGAAACGGTTTAGTCACGTTACAATAAGAAACGGCCGAAATATCGAAATATTCCGTGTTAAACTTAGATATTAAGCCTAAAATGAAACTCTCAGGCTGCCTACGAGTCGACTAGCGGTCTGTTTCAGCTGAACAATGGAAGAGAACGGAGAAAATAACGGAGTCGCTGCTTCAAAACCGCTCAGAGACCAAGTTCAGCTTCAGCCGAGGAGGAACATAAACAGGTTTCATTAAGTTACTAGCTTAGCTAAGGCTGCACACGAAAACCCCTGTTATCTCTTTATTAATCTACCGTTTCTTTCTCTCTCACGCCGCTATAAAGTGCCCCGTCATGTCAGTTTAGCCTGTCACAGCAACACAGAAGCCCCCCATCGATAAGACACGGAGCAAAAGCTGCATTTGTGAGGTAAAACTGTCTTGTTTTGAACGGTTTCGCATGTAAAAAGGCGTGAACGCTGAGTTTGGAAGTGTTTCTTCACTTAAAACAGCTCCACACTCACCCACAGACACTTCTTGGGCGAAGGCTAGAGAGATGAGGAGCAGAGGGAGACAGCAAATTTAATATACATGCACTCAGAAAAAAAGGGTAGCTACTAAACTGTCACTGGGGTGGTGCGTCTTCATTAGTCAGGGAACATAATTGTACCAGATGTCATTGCAGTTATAGACCCTGTCTGGACCCCAGGCTTTTTATTTTATTGTTCTGTTTTAAAACATTAGATTATGAAAAGGTATAAATATGTACATTTCCCATGGGACACACTTAAAAGAAACACTGACCCACATAGCGAGCAAATATTGGTATATATTTGCCACTGCTGGTCCACTATCGGACCACCCAGATTACTGTCATGCATACAAGTTTTAACTAGTTTTCAATCTTCCCAAACAGATTTTAAGTGCACACAGACTTTTATTTTGGAAAATAAACAAATATTACAAACAAATGAATTATGACAAGGCCTGATATAAAATGATTTTATTGAAAATGTTGTTGCTGACATTGTGCTGGATTAAAATTATTTACTAAAATAATTTACAAAGTATAACTAAAGAAAGGAAGGATGGAAAAATCTGTAGATTGGACTAAGAGTGGAAAATGAGTGATGATAAGTGGAATTTTGTCTAATACTCTGCTTTACCACCGGTGGACCGCCCAGAAAACGCTGAGCAAAACGCCAGTGGACCGCCAGTTTGCCGTCAGTGGGCCAACAGTGGTCCACTATCCTCTTGCTATCAGGGGACTGTTAAGACATGTAAGCCTCAATATGATGTACAAGCCTAATAGTATAAAAACATATTGTTTCGACCAAGCATAATGTTTTGCTTTTAAAAATGGACAAAATCCCTCCACTAGTGGGTTGCCATTTTGTTGTGGCATCCAGTAGTTGCTCTCTGTCTTGTCCACTAAGTGATGAACAATAAGCTAAATATCTCCTTTAACTCAAATATATCATTCAGCCTTTCCAGCTTTAGCTGAGCATGACGTTACACAAGCGAAACGCTTTTTAGATTGTCTTATTTTCTGTAGGATTGAGTCCAGTGCAACCAAAAGACCTCATCACAGTGCGACAGTGGTGGCCCTACTAGTAGAGAGATTTGTCCTGGTTTTACAATAAACAAAACCTTTTCATTTGTTTTATACATAGTAATGTAAGTCTAATAGAAGTCTAAGGTACACAGTCAGGCCTCTAAACCACTGTTGTACCTCTGAGAATACATTCACATTGTTTTTTACCTTGATCAACAAAAATCTACCTGCAGACTATCTTTGTTTCTGACAGTGTACATAAATCTAGGTTTTAGATGATGTTAGAGTTAAATTGTTTATTTCATTGTGAAAACATACAGAAGGGATTATGTCTATGCACTGTTATTCTAAAAACATTTTAGGTCATTTTGTAGTATGTAACCAAATATACAATCTATAACCAAACAAATCAATCTATAAGAAATCTGTTTTATTCTTCAAAATATGGTTAGGAATCAACATATTAAAATGAATGAATACAACTATTCTAGAAACTGAGATTGTTGGTTCTGAATGTAGAGAAAAGCTGATTTTAAGAAAAACGACTAGACCTCTGAAGTTGTGTACCTTTCTGTAGTCGGCGTCATGGCCGTAGTAGGAACTCCAGGTCTCAGCTATTTTTCTTTATGACAAAAGTAAACAGCATTTTGGAAGATCACCTCTCTTGTATCCTGTGGTGAACGATAATGTTATCAAGTATTTGGGCGTTCGTGCCATACTTAAAGAACTCATTATGATAGGAAAATAAAATGTAAAACTGTAATTTTCTTTCCGGCAAAGTATTCTTTCAAAAGGCGGCTGGTGCGTTTCAGATCATTATCATTTGAGCAGTATGATGTAATGATAAACTGGTGTTTTATAAACATTTTAATGATTTGGTCATCTTATAACTTGATATGATCAAGCCAGTAAAGTTTATTTGAATAGATTTGAATTGAATTGAACTGGCAGTGAGAGACTTCTCTTATGTGTCACTGAAAGTCAAGCAGATAAAATACTAAAATACTGTCATTTTTTGAGGTTTATAGAACATGTCCAAGCGTGATATCTGGCCTTGTGTGAAAAATCACACTTTGTACTCATTCTCTACACGTTAATCTTATCTCCGCTCTTTATTTCATTCTTAGCTTTATTTTAGCAGGTTTACTCTGGATATGAACACGAGTTTAATGAGTTTCAGAAAAAGATGTCAAGGCTTTCTGGGTATATTTTCTCAGCATTTATTGACTTCATAAGAAAAAAAGAGTTACAAAAGGACAAAACAGTACTGTAACTGAAAACAGAGATGGTGATTGAGCTAAAGAATGTCAGATTTGCTTACGAGAAAGAGGAGAGAGTAGATAGAGTAAAACTTCGTTTTGGAAAGATTTTTTTTTTACTTTCTTTGTGTGCCGTCATCCTGTCTCTGTTGATTCATGTGTTTTTAGCCACCTCAGTCGTGGAACAGGTCAAAGAAGCTGTGGTCATCGGGTGTGTCCTCTAAAGCCACACCATCGCAGTAGGCCGGAGGGACTAAGACTTGTGCGTCGTCAACCTCCGTCTCCACATTCATGAAACTGAGAAAGGTCAGAGGCAAGGCAGAGACAGGTTTAGGAGGATTGTACATTTAATTTCAAAGAGGTTCGTGCTAACCATAAACTAGATTATTAAGTAGGTCCTAGCTACTATTAACCATAAGCTAAAATTGTTGGCTTATTTATAATTGTTATACATGTGTATATACACTGATCAGGCATAACATGTGACCACCTCCTTGTTTCTATGCTCATTGTCCATTTTATCAGCTCCACTTACTATATAGGTGCACTTTGTAGTTCTACAGTTACAGACTGTAGTCCATCTCTTTCTCTGCATACTTTGTTAGCCCCCTTTTACCCTGTTCTTCAGTAGTCAGGACCCCCATGGACCCTCACAGAGCAGGTACTATTTGGGTGGTGGATCATTCTCAGCACTGCAGTAACACTGACGTGGTGGTGGTGGTGTGTTAGTGTGTGTTGTGCTGGTCTGAGTGGATCAGACACAGCAGAGCTGCTGGAGTTTTTAAACACTGTGTCCACTCACTGTCCACTCTATTAGATACTTCTACCTTGTCAGTCCACCTTGTAGATGTAAAGTCAGAGACGGTAGTTTGTCTGCTGTTGTTTGTGTTGGTCATCCTCTAGTCCTTCATCAGTGGTCACAGGACGCTGTTGGTTGGATATTTTTGGTTGGTGGACTATTGTCAGTCCAGCAGTGAGGTGTTTAAAAAATCCAGCAGCACTCCAGCAACAAATGTCTTGGTCTACTGAAGCATTAAGATTTCCCTTCACTGGACCTAAGGGGCCTAGATCAGCCCCTAAAAAACAGCCCCATATCATTATCCCTTCTCCACCAAACTTTACAGTTGGCACAATGCAGTCAGGCAGGTAACGTTCTCCTGGTACTCATCAAACTCAGACTCGTCCATCAGGCTGCCGTTTCCACTGCTCCAGAGACCGGTGGCGGCATGCTTTATACCACTTTCCCCCCTATGCTTGGTATTGTACATTTTGATCTGATGCTTGTGCGTAGCTGCTCAGCCATGAAAACGCACCTAACATGCAGTTCTTTTGCTAATGTTGCTTCTAGAGACAAATTTGCATAAGAAGCATGGCATGCTCAGTCTTTTTATTGGAATGTTAGATTGTTAAACTGACCTGAAGGTGAGATCAGTCTTCTCACTGTGGTAGCAACAGGAAACAGTGAGGCACCCGCAGGATGTGGTCAGCATAGTGTAGTTGGCTGCAAATAAATCAGTATCATGAAGAAATGAGTTCTTCAGTTTATTAGACAAAACCAGCAGTTTATGAAAATTACTAGACTGGATTTTGCTCTTTGCATTCTAACAACACTTTTCAGATGCAGTGATGAAAATTAGCATTAAACAAAAAGAGACAAAATGAATACTGACAAACTCACTAATGATAGACAGTGAAGTTAACATGGATGTCTGGATAAGACCAGTCCCAGATTAAAGAACACTGATTCTCCCCATAGAATCCCTTTTGGCTGTACTGATTAATCCAGTATGATGCAGTATGATAATGTAATAATCCTAAAGCCTATGAGAGAGATGCTAACCATGAAGATCAGGTAGCTTTCCGTTCCACGTGCGCACTCTCAGGCCCTGCTCGGACTTGGACGGGCTGCCCAGATACGCCTCACTCTCGTAATGGGCGTCGGAGGGCAGCTCCATGGGGTGCCGGCGATACTTCAGCGTCTGCTTCTTGCAGCTTTCGTTCTTGCTGTCTATCTCATACAGTACACCCTGTGTGTGAGAAAGAGGGAGTGAGAGAGGAAAAGAGCAGTCATCTGAATGTGTGTTATTATTATTAGGGCAATCACTATCAGTTTTATTAGTAGTTAAGTAATCTACAAATTATTTTGATGATGAGTTGTCATAGTTTTAATATTAAACAGGGGCATGAACTAACAAGGTTCATTTTGGTTTCAGGTAGCATTTAAATTTAGTCTTTTTAACAGCCTCTTAGTTTGTCATTCTCTTTTAAAGCATGGTTTGTTGTTGTTCAGTTAAGTCCATTTTTTATTTCTTTTGCTGGCCTCCTGTAAAACTTCATTGTTCCTTCCATCAAAATGCAACTTGTGCCCGTCTCTCAAACGTCTTCTGACCTTTGATTATATTAAAGTTTATATAATGTTAAAGTAAAATTAAATTGTGCATTATTAGGTAATATTACTATATAATATTAAAACATCATCAAAATATGTATTCAATCAGAAATCCTCCCTAATAGGGACGGACCCCTCCCTAATACCAAGTTTCAACCCAGTGTTCATTACCAGTTTTACAACACTCAGACATGGAAGGAAAAACATTATGATTTCTGACTTACATCGACTTTAAGATGAAATAAACTAAACACTAAGCAGCAAAAATAAATATGAATGAGTCTGTGGATCAGGCTCTGGTTTTTCACTGTAAGAGAGTGAATATGTATTATCATAATGCAAAAAAGACTATCATTGAGAAAATATATCTTAATCAATAATTTCTGCTGGCGTAATCAAGTTTACTCATGTACTCATGACAACAAGTTATTATATTACTTGTAAATGGAATATAAGACTCATACTAATGACAAATGGAGAGAGAGAACTAAGCAGAGGATGAAGAGAGAGGTTAACCTCAGCGATGTCTGACACTATGCCTTATTCACTAAACTGCATTATTTTGAAAGTCGGCCAGTTTGTAACAGCAGTGGACGTAATATTGATTGCAGTCTTATAATCCTTCTATGCACAGCAATAGATAAGTATATGTAACGTGGCAGGCACAGAATACCCATAATGCATTGTGTCATAAGTGGTGGAATGTGACTGCTATCATACAGATTTGAACAAACCCATCATTTTCTGATTCTGTTCCCTGTAACAATGTTCCACAATATCAAATACTCATTAGGGACAATTTTTTCCCCACACTCTTAAAAATAAAGGTGCCAGAAAGAGTTATTGGAGCAATGCCACAGAAAAATGTCAGATTCTCCAAAGAACCTTTCAGTGGGCTACATAGCAGTGGTTCCCCGACTGAAAATCCAAGCCAAGAACCATTTAGGAATAATTTTTAAGAGTTTATAAAGCACTGTCAGAAACAAGGGCACTGTCCAGATAAGCTTTAGTCCCCCAAGGCACAAACGATGTGAATAAACCCTCAATAGTACACGGTCCATAAAGTCCAATTGTGTACATTAAATGAGTTTTAAAGGTTACACTATATTCCCTTTCCCAAAAGAAAGGGGCATATTTGTACCGTTTCTGACCTTTTCTGTAGAATTTTTTAAAGAAAACTTTAAGAAAGATAAGTGCAAAAAATATGGTACAATTATGTTTGGTAACTACAGTTACTGAAGACATACCCTTGAGGACGTGTACGGCTTTCGTACCCTAAAAGGTGTTGTTTTTTCTAAGAGTATTGTGTTCTATTTAGGTCTGCAGATTTTCCAGTGTAGGTAATAGTGATTAGGGACCGTAACAAACTAAACATGAAGTAAAGTTACCTCCTCGAAGTGGATGAGCACATCCATGTGGGAGGTTTTGTTCGAGTGGCTTTCATTCTCCACAAAGCGGAGCTTCTTTGCCGTGGAATCGTAGTTGAATTCCCCCTCTGCAATGTCATGACCACCAGTGGAGCTCTGTGTTTGTAAGAGAGACTTTGAGTTGAGTACTTAGTTCAAGAATGTACTGAGGTTAGTTTCTATATGTTTTCAGCTTTGAAGGGTATTGAGCTGTCATTAATCTGACTACCTACCACACTCAGTGTGCCACTGGTCATAGATGGTGACTCTGAAAAAGAAATGGGTAAAAAACATTACCAATGTTTCGAGACTCAGCAAAAAACACTGCACTGCTTGAACAAAACTTTTCAGTATCCACTGATCTGCTGCATAATTGTATGTATTCTAATTTCTGAATAAAAGAACTAAATCTAAATCTAGACTTACTTTACCACTGAGCTCGGGTTGGATAAGTCTTTGTCAACTGGAACAGGCGTAACCACTTAAACTGCAGACTTGATGTTCAGTTATTAATCTTAAGTCTTATTATTCAGTAGCAACTATGCAGCCATGAGTCACTTAAAGTTATACTTTGAAAGTGTTTTGTTCTATAGTTATGAGGGTGAGTAATTGAAATTTGGACCTACATATGGATTTTAAGGGGTTCAAATTTAAGATTTTATCTGACAGATGCTGAAATCTTTTGAGCTTGGCCATCTTTGGTTTATAATTATAAAAATAAGTAACGATAAGCTTTATGTATAGAGTACATTTCATACATGTAGCTGCACAAAGTGGTTTACAAGCAAGCGACAAGACAAAATTTAAAATGAAAATTCAGTTGAAAATGTTATTGAAGTACAAATTATATTAGAAAATAACCTAGCAATAAAAAAATAGATGTAAAATATATTAAAATATATTAATAGGTTAATACACCGATCAGGCATAACATTAACATTGTTTCTATGCTCATTGTCCATTTTATCAGCTCCACTTACTATATAGGTGCACTTTGTAGTTCTACAATTACAGACTGTAGTCCATCTGTTTCTCTGCATACTTTGTCAGCCCCCTTTTACCCTGTTCTTTAGTGGTCAGGACCCCCATGGACCCTCACAGAGCAGGTACTATTTGGGTGGTAGATCATTCTCAGCACTGCAGAGACACTGATGTGGTGGTGGTGTGTTAGTGTGTGTTGTGCTGGTCTGAGTGGATCAGACACAGCAGTGCTGCTGGAGTTCTTAAACACTGTCCACTCACTGTCCACTCTATTAGACACTCCTACCTTGTCAGTCCACCTTGTACATGTAAAGTCAGAGACGATAGCTCATCTGCTGCTGCACAGTTTGTGTTGGTCATCCTCTAGTCTTTCATCAGTGGTCACAGGACGCTGCCCACAGGGCGCTGTTGGCTGGATATTGTTGGTTGGTGGACTATTTTCAGTCCAGCAGTGACACTGAGGTGTTTAAAAACTCCAGCAGCACTGCTATGTCTGATCCACTCAGACCAGCACAACACACCCTAACACACTACCACCACGTCAGTGTTACTGCAGTGCTGAGAATGATCCTCATAATGTTATGCCTGATCTGTGTATATGATAGTACATTAACCCAAAGCTACATTAAAAGATACAGTCTAATTTTTTGTAAAACACTGTGCTGAGATTCACAAGTATATACAACCAATTCCACAAATAAAAGGTGGAATTCCAATGTATAGGTATTGTATTGGAATATGTTTGGTTTTGTTTAGTTTATAGGCATGTGAGTGAAAGAAGAAGTTGATGAGACACTTACGACAAGGCTGGCGGTTGGTGGAGGCCCAGACAGCTGCACAGAGGCACCAGAAGACCACGCAGAACAGCTCAATTGCGCGCATCGTTGCTTTCTGTCGGATTGCCCCTCAGGTCCAGACACAGCCAACTGCTTTGCAGACAGCCCTTTTTATACAGAGGGTCCATCATCACCCTCCTGCCCCTCCACGACCTCCTCCTATACTCCACTCCAGCAAAGGCAATCAAACAGCCTCTTCTTCAAACAAACATAAGCTTGTTGGCCTTGCACCGCTGCACTGGGGTTTCTGGCAATTGGGAAATTAGCGACGCTGCCCCAGCAGGACGTCAGTTCACGTAAGGCGACTTTCGCCGCAGGGTCATATTGAGCAAAACACTCAGTGAACGAAAGAAGCCCTCAATTATCCAGGTGTAAAAACAAAAGTCTGGTTAATACTGGAGAGAGTCTGTCTTTTTCTAGAAACTCAGTCCAGAAGCAGTCCAGACTTTTACCCTTTCATGACCACACATTACCATTCCAGAATTCTCCCTCGTGGAGCTGCAGAGTGTGACTGTATTTGCTTACATGCTTAAAAAAGATGGTTCTTCAAGGGTTCTTTAGTAAATAAAATGGTTCTATATAGAACACTCAAAGAACCATTCGCATGATTCAAGGATACTTTGCATCGTGAAAGCGTTCTTCAGATTGATGGTGAATGTGCTGTAGATGGTTGTATATAGAACTGTTTTGAAAAGGGTTCTATATAGCACCAAAAAGGGCTCTCCTATGGTGTACAAGCTTGACATTGTATCTGTATTTTGGTGCTATATAGAAGCTTTTTTCAAAAATGTTCTATAAAGAGCCATATGCAACACATTCTCCATCTATCTGAAGCACCATTTCACGATGCAAGGAACCCACTGATTATGCAGGTTCCTTAAGTGTTCATGGTTTTATATAGAACTATTTTCTTTACTAAAGAATCATCTTTTTTAAGTATGTAGAGACCAGATACACTCTAAACTCAAAGGAGATTTCTGGAATGGTAATGTGTGGTCATGAAAGGGTAAAAGGGAAATTGAAAAAATGCTGGAGTGCTAAGGGAGATGAAAGGCAAAATGCCAGACAGGTAATCATTTTACGTAGCACATCTGCTAATAAATTGGGTTTTGGCCTTTGACAATCCTTCATTCAATCATTTCATTGGTGATTTTGCTCATTTCAATTTCTACAAGATGGACTTAACAAAGCAATAAACAAGTAAAAGCTGTAAAGCACAAACATGACATTTCCAAAAACTTGAAGACGCAGTGCATGAAGAAAAATGTAACAGTGACTGTGTGATTTGATGAAGTATTGTGTATTTGACGCTTTGGTTTTGTTCAGACGACAGCTTGAGAGCTTTTCAAACTCTCAAGCGCACTTCTTTCATTGTTGCCTATGGAGCAACATGCACAACTGCAATGAATTTATTTACCCTGAGCAATGCACTTTGTGTTTTTAAACCAGATGTTAATACATCCACTTTTGACTGCTAATGAATTTTGCCACACTGTCAGCAGTACACTTCAAATGATATTAATGCTTCGAAGCAAAAGGACATCGTGATTGGCAGCATTTCATGGTCATGTTTGCCTGCTTGCCAATCAAATGCATTAACTCATCCCCAAAAGAAGGCATTCTGAATCTTTTTCAATACAATAAAAAGGCATCATCTGAGCACCCACTTTGGCCGCCTGTCTCTTTCGCATGTTACGCCATTCTGTGTTGGATTTATGAGCTTTTGTGACAGTCTATGGGTTTTGCTGTGTCATGTTAGTGGTGTGATTTTGTGCGTCTGAGTCACACTGTGTTGTGTCTTAAGAGACCCCATTAAGTCTGGATGCAGGTGATGGGGAGATTGTTTTGTTTCGCTGCTAGAGGTCGGGCTTTGTTTTCTTCAAAAGACCAGCTGGGGACAGTGTGAAGAAAGAGCTGACAGCAAATGTGGGAATTAAAAAAATATCAAAGAATATGCTAGAATTGGAGGCAGGGTGTCAATGCACAGATGGTCTTCATTAAGCTTTTAGGGAACTGAACCAGTGTCTGGTTTGAGGCTGTAAATGTCATATACTGCTGCATGTGAACTCAGTGAACTCAGTTCAGTTTACTTCAGTTCAAATGACCAAAAGGGACCAAATTTGTATCATGTTAATACTTTATATTTGTTAGATTTTTGAAGTTAACTTCTTCACCATACATCTGTTTTAGAGGTAACTACTTTAGTTTATGTCCTTTTTAGTGTTGTTAACTGCTTCAGTGTACATCCATATTAGAGTTAGCTACTTTAGTGTACTTACTTTTTAGAGTTTTTAATGACATTGCATACATCTATTTTATATATTTTTTTTAGCATTATTCCTTTTTAGAGATCTTAACAAACATACACTTACAAACTTACACTAGTTTTAATGTTCTTATTACTTTAGTGTACAACTGTACACTAAACACAACGAGTTTACCCTCGGCCTCTGTTGACTCCACTCACAATAACTCTCATAATCCTCTGGAGACTCACGTCGCAGACTCAGACAATTATGGACCATTACCCAGATCCACGTCACCAGATTACTGAACTGTTTGCACCTGATGTTCATTTCCCACCTGCTATATAAACCTGTCTGTTTGTAACACTCTTTGCGAAGTATTGCCAACTAATATTCTTTTCATGTATTTTCCGTGTTTATGACCTTTTTTCCTGTTATCATTTCTCTCTTTTGGACATCCTTTTTGTACTGTTGTTACAGCTTGTTTTCTACTAAAATGTGTATGGACCATTTATGTCTTACTTTTGATGACCCAATGCATTGAAGTAGAAATTTGATGTGGCATTTTAACACAGGCCATTTTAGCTTTTATAGTAAAAGAGCATTGTAAGCACCAAATTTGCAGACCACTGACAACAACAAATTTGTTTTTTGACCTTCAAAAATTAGTAGAAATCACATACCCTATCTATTTGACCACAGCTGGAGCTGGAATTCAAACATTGGCATGTTGATAAAGAACTGTAGGCTTGAGGCAGTGGTGGATAGTAATGGTTGCTGATTGGCCATAATACATTGACAGCACACACAGAAAATAAATCAATTTTCATTATCTTAAAAAATGCAGCTTAATAAATATATTCTTTTCCCATTTAATTGAGCAGGCCCATGATTAATCTGGGTAGGCCCATGCCTACCCTGGTCTACCTGGCTACATCCCTGTTAAGTGTTACAGACAGAATGTCTGTAACATGCATTATATTTGATGTATTTAAGTTCCGCATGGCCAAAATGACGCCATGCAAGCAGACACGCCACTGTCGATAGAAGTTCGATAGAACTACAACAGACATGGACATAGCAGAACCCCTAGCAGTTTAAATCAAATTTTGCACAAAGTGCCACCTAGTGAGGAGCGGAAGGACTGTGATATAAAAAGTATGAAACACTTTTTGGGCTTGGGGACTGTATGTTCTTTCTGTTCATCTTCTATGCTATAATTAATGTGGAAAGCATACACCAAAGTTTCATGTCCATGGACTTTCCAACTGCTTTCTCCACAAACATGTTATCGAGACTTTTTGGGACTATCAGAATTTGTGGTGGTCAATTCTTGTCAAAACTACAGAAAAGGCCAAACAATCGCCTATCACCATTACTCCAAAAAATGAGTCATCGCTCTTGGATTAACACCAAACTTCCTCAGCCAATTTAGGAAATGGAAGCAGCTTTCTGTCGAAAGGCACTGGAATTTGCCCCTCCTAGAAGTACCTTTTGGTTTTACTTAGAAAGCTGAGAGTGGTCAACCTTGCGACAGACTGGCCACAAAGGGGAGGATCTGTAGAAAACTGACATCATTGCTTTGGTTTCACCAATATTAGGCTTCAGTTATTCTTTTTTAGTACTATTTCAGCCCTTAAGTAAACAACACAGTGTACTGACCTCACGCCTACATACTGTTACTGCTACCAGTGCTTTGCCGCTTGTAACTATTATTTTGACAGGCTGCAAACAGACATCAAGGAGCTACAAGGCCCAGTGAACTAATTGGGAAGTGGCCTCTTTTGTGGTAACCTTATTCTGGCTTTGCACACAACACTAAACATGGAGGCACAGAATCAGGCCAGCTATTAGCTGGAAGTGATGGAGCCCACAGGTTCTTAAAATGACATGATATCTATTTTGCATAACATCTGTATATTGCTATGGATGAAACTCTTCATCATAGCAAGTGGTTGTTAGTGGCAACAGGTTATGAAAGCCATTTGTATATTAATAGAGGCTTTTGATAAAAAGTTATTCATCAGTAATTGGCAATATTAAAATCAACAATTCATAGGTCAAACAGAAACAAACCAATCACTACATAAATAAATATAGGTCTTGTTGTTTAGAACATATGCACGTTGATATGACCTACAGCACAGTTCTCTAACTCAAATTGTGTGGGAACGTAGTGCTTCAAGGTTTCATTTCTTACCCTGCCTGATTCAACTTGAACTTGAAAAGGCAAAACCTTGAACAGAACTGTGCCGAAGGTCTTCCTCATGGGACTTGAAGAGCTCTGACCAGCAGTATCCTCTTCTATGTGGTGTGCCCTCTTGTGGCCAATGTATGAGGAATTGGTCTGGGTGACACTGGTGCTTATGTAATTTAACTATACAGAATACAGATAGTAAACAAATAACCCAAATAAATACAAAAGCACATATATAACTTGTATATCCAGCATATCTTCACAGTATCCACAAAATGTAGAAAGATAAAGACGGGGTATGACTGTACAGGTGCAATGGGCAAATGACCACTCAAATGGCCATTAATTACAAGTTATTCGTTTTTCAGTGTCAGCAAAAAATGAGAAAACATATTTAACTGAAAATTACACAGAAGCCTCCACAATTACATATAATATCACAATTTTAGTATGTATGATGTCCACTTTTTATTTTTTTACAGCTTTCATTCTTTCCAGGAGACTTGCTTACTTTCAAAGAAATCTGCAGGGATATTTTTCCACATCTCCAAAGTTCAGTCTGAGAAGTTGGTTGTATTCTATGCTTCTCTTGATCCAAATAACCCCAATATTCAGTGATGTTGAGGTCTGGAGTCTGGGATGGTCAGTCTGTTGCTCTGAGAACAGCAGCAGCTT